GGAGGGAACGGGAGGGGCGGGGCGGGGCGGGGCCATGAGCTCCTCCCAGCTGCGCCGGGGCCCCTGGGCAGATCCGCGGCGGAGAGGCCCCTAGGTGTGTGTGCTTCCAAATCAGCTTTTCTATGGTACTTATCGCCGGCCCCTGTGTGCTTATTTATCTCCTGGCTCTGGGCCCCAGGTCCAGCCAGGGCTGGCGGCCCTGTGCCCTCAGGCCGGTTGCCTTGGCAACGCCCCTTTGTTAGGCACCAGCATCCCCAAATGTCAAACTGTTTTCAGCGGGTCAGACCTGGTTCCCTCCTGGCTTTCGCCTTCTCCTTTTCGATTCCAGTTACCTCTGCCCAAGTTGCAAACTCCCTCGTCTCCATGGGGACGTAGGAGGGCTGCCTCTCTTTTTCCGTCCCAAACATCTGTCTCTATAAACAGTTGTGCGCGGCACCTCCTCCTTCTGGGCCTGGGTTTGGGCTTCGGGAGGAAGTGCTTTGTTTATCCAGAGGGGTCGGTTTCCTTGCTCCTCTGGGGTTGGCCAGCGTGGGATGACTGCAGCCCTGGACTCTGGGAGCCCTGGGCAGGCGGGTGGCCGGTGCTCACGCGGCTCCTCCGGGGCCAGTGCCTGGTGGGAGGGGCGGCTGCTCTGCACAGTTGTGTGTGTGGTCCACCTGGGCTCTGCTTTGCTGGCCGGGTTGCCTCAGACGGGCTGCCTAACCTCTCTCGAGCCTCTGTTTCCTCTTCTGTAAAGTGGGGATTCTAACAGCGCCCCCCTAACAGACTTGTCGAGGGGGTAAAGAGCCGGGCTTCACGGTGTCAGGTGCAGTTGGCCGCGCTCTCTCCAGAAAGCGCTTGTGTTTCAGAAGTTACTACTGTTCTCAGCCCCACTCAGGAGAACTCCAAGATGTTGACTGGCCCAAGACTCAGTCAGAAGAGGGTCCCGCCCAAGATGCAAACCCAGACACCTTCTGATCCATCAGGACCTCCATCCCAACCCCGGGTCTTCAGTTTGCAGACCGAAGCACTCGGATCAAGTGACTTCCTCGTCCGCTTGAAACTTTGATTTTTTTCCAGGAAGAGGGTGGAGCGAGCTCAGAAGTTAGTGGGGTTTTGCCGAGAGCCAGGGACCGGGATGCGTGGTGTATGGGTGAGGAGGCAGGAACAGGGACTCCAGTGCCTCCGATCCCTGGCTGACTGACATGAGAACCGGGCCACCTTGGAGAGCCCGTCCTGGGCCCACACGGCGTCAGGGCCGGCATCACTCCCGCAGGCCTCACCAGCCTGACTCCCAACTCCAAGTGCAGCGCCTTTTCCCGCCTCTGCGATCCCAGCGAGGCGCTGGTAATATCAATGCCCTGACTGCAGGTGATCGAAGGAAACAGCCAGGCTCACGGGGGAGGGGCGGCTTGGGCTTCGGAGCAGGGAGAACTGGGTCTGAATCCCGCTCCGCTAATTACCGGCCGGCCTCGGCCGAGCGGACCTCTCTGGGACTCGGTTATCTCAGCTGTGGAATGGGTGGCAGAGGAATAGTATCTGCCGGACAGGACAGGGGGACTGACAAGGGGCTCGGGGCTTAGCCCGGGGGGCGGGTGTCTCCAGCAACCAAGAGGACATTATTACTGCTGTGACAATTCGGTTGGCTCGGGATGACAGGAGGCTGTGCTCCCCGGTCCCTGGACACTGGCCACCTAGGGATTTGGGGTCTCTACGCGGCGTGAGCACAGTATAAGGAGGGCAGAAGCAAGGGCAATGTGGGAGCAGTAAGGCTTGGGGGGAAGGGGTTGCTGGGCGGGGCTGAGGGAGCGGTGACCAAGAACCCAGCCCTGGAAGGCAGGGGACAGGACCACAGCGAGCTGAGGCTCCAACCTCAGCGTGTGCTCCCTGGTCTCGTCGGACTTCACTTAGAAAACACAAATGGAAAGGTAAAATTATTAAGCATTCATTCGGTTTTCTTTCTGAGTTGCGGTTGACGGTGTTATATTAGTGACAGATGTACAGCATAGTAGTTAGACATTTATGTAATTCACGAGGTGACCCCCCTGGAAGTCTGGCGCCCACCCGGCACCATGCACGGCGACCACGATGCTATTTACTGTATCGCCCACCCTGTACTTTCCATCCCGAGGGCGGGCTTGGTTCTGAGCGCGGGGCCCGAGGATGCGATGTGACTGACTCCTGTCTCCTGGGATGTCTTCCAAGAGACCGGATAAAATGGACCTGAGCACAGATGGGGAGAGAGGGAGGAAGAGAAAATGAAATAGTAAAATGTCAACATTTGGGGTATCTTGGTGAAGGGTGTACGGGAATTCTTTGTAGTATTTTTGTAACTTTTCTGTAAGCCTGCAATTATTTCAAAATTAAAACTTGGGGTTTTTCGTTTTGTTTTGTTTTGAAGGAGATGATAGGATTATTATTGCCGGGGATGGGGGAACACCGGTGAAGAGCCAGTTCTGCCGGCGGTGGGTGGCTGCTGCTCGGAGGGCTCCAGGTTCTGCTGGAGACCCTGTGGCCACGGGAGTGACCAGCGTGACACCACAGAGCCAGCACCTCCACTCCGGCCACCAGCTTTCCGGCCTTGTGGCCAATCTTTCCCTTTGGGGGGCCAGTGACTCAACCACGGGTTCCATGTGGCAGGAAGTGGGTACAATGACTCACCCGGTGGCTCTGAACCCTCTGTGCTGGAGGCTGGGATAGCAGCTGAGGCCGCAGGCCAGAGATGGCCCCCGAAGAGCGGGATGTGCACCCCACGATCTAAGCCCGAATAGTGCTGCTCCGGAGGACGGGGGCCTGGAGCACACGGCTGGAGCGGGCCGTCACCCACCCTCAGTCCAGCTGATGTGCCCTCGGCCAGCTCTGCGGAGTCGTCTGGCTGTCTGCGGGCACGTGTTCCATGCTGCACACTGCTTAAGAATTCCCCGCCGTCGGCAGAGCCGGCAGCCGCTGCCAAGGTCCCTGACTCGGCTGGCTGCCCCGAGCTGTGTGCCTTCGCTGGGGGCCTTGTTAGCACTCAGCAGATGGCCCGGAGGCTTTGTTCCTGGGGGTCCAGCAGGTTTAGGCTGAAGCTCCATGGCATTTTTTTCCTGCCTTGATGATCGGTGCTGGGAACTTGCCTTCTCTCTCATCGGAGGGTTGGACACCAGCACCGAGTAAGTGAACAAACGTTGCTTCAGGGCCCACCATTCTCCTGCCAGGACGCCCTGACCTCTCCAGCTTCCCCTCTGGCTAAGGGCTGGAGTCGCTCGCTTCAAAGTTAAGGCATGTTCACATTTATGGGCGGGGGCAGTGTTTGTACCTCCATTGTGGCCATTTATCCTCATAAGAGGAAAACCGAGGCTCAGAGAGGTTGAGGACCCTGCCTGAGGCCACACAGCACCGAATCTGGATTTGAAATCTGATTCGAGGGTCCACCGCCCTTATCCCACCTTGTGATGGGCTGTGCATGCTCCCCTATTTTTTTGTGTGTCTACCCTTTGTCTCCCCAGCTCGATGGTGAATCCAGAAGGGTTGACTGGGAGGATGGCTTCCTCATATTCTGAAGCCTCCTGGCACCCAGCAGTCCCTGACACACGGAGGTGCTCAGGCGTGACTTTGCGGGCAGACTGAGTGTCCCATCCAAGGTGGCTCTGAGCACAGCACCGGCCCTCTGCAGCAAGCCCCGCCCGCTCCCACCCCACACCCGGCAGTCGCCTGCCTGAGATCTTGTCCCCTTGTCTGAGAAGGCAGGCAGACCCCGCTCTCCCCAGGCCACCTGGCGCCGGCTGCCACGTCCAGGGCTCTGCACTGAGAGCCACGTGGTCTCTCTCTGGCCTCCGCTTTGCCCTCCTGGCCTCTGACTCCCCGATCTGCTCCCGACTTTCCCTCTCCCAAGTGTTTCTCTTTGTTCTTCCTTTTCCCTCTCGATGTCCCTTCTGGTGCCCGCTTTCCCTCCTTCCCTGGACCTTGTTCCCACTTGATGTTGTCATCAGACTGCCGTCATTCCTGCCACCAGGGCCAGTCCGCCAGGGCCGGCTTGCCCAGAGCCACTCCTACACAAGAGCCCCGTCGTCTGTCTCAGCTTCTAAATGGCCACTTTCTACTTCCTTGGTACAAACTCAGGCCCGGAGGAGGTGCTTCCACTGGGTTGGAAGGGGACCCTGGGGTCGTCTGGTCCAGCCTCTCTCGTGGTCAGCTGACCTCTGCTGAAGCGAAGATGGCTCAGGGCCTCCCACAGACCCGCACTGCTGCGTGGACAGCGGGTGGGCTCTTGGACGAGATGGTGCTGTGAGGATCTGACTCAGATGAACGCTGTTTCCCTTTTCCATTGTATTGAGTTGATGTCAGCCTCCTGGCAACGTCCCCGGTCCTTTGATCTGGGGGAAGACATCCCTCGGTGACTGTCAACTAGCTGGTGAAGCGCATCACGCCCTTTCTCCTCTCAGGGAAAGTCCCGCCCCTCGTGGAATGTGAGTTTCAGACCTTAACTGTCCACCTCCCGCTGATGCCCTCCAGTCTACTGACCCGTCTCTCTGAGGACCAGGGACACGGTGGCGTTCTGGTGTCCCACGGAATCCAAGCATTAACTCACCTGCGCTCATCTGACACCTCCATGCCTTCCTTCCCAGGCCCCCAGTCCTGGGGTGCCTGGGGCATCTGATTAAGGATTCTATATTTGATCCTATTCAATTTCATCTGTGTCTTTCGACCTGTCGTTCCAGCCCGGCATCGGCTTTGAACCCAGATGAGCTGGATTCCCCCGCGCCACCCTCCTGTTTTGTTGTATCTGGAGATCTGGTCACATGCCTTCGTGGTTTCCACGCAAGTCATTGATGAAAATGTTGAACAGGACTTTGTCTAGGCCGGCGCCTTGTGGCACATCTCCAGAGACTTGCCTCCTGCTGGGCTTTGCTTACTAGTCAAAAGCTCTTTGATTTCTTTGTTTTTTTTTTTTTGTTTGTTTTTTTTTACCTGCTACAACCTAATTGTTGTAGGTCATAGGCTTCTCTTCCCCTGTCTTCCGTAAGCTTATCGCAGCAAGTCGAATGTTTCGATAGAATCAAATTATTCTGTATCCTAAGTATGTCTATGATCGACAATACTGGCAAAGAAGAAAGGACTCATTCTGGCCTGAATTGCTAATAATAATAAGTTTAACATTTTTTTTTATCCTCCAGATAGTCCGTATTCATTTTATTAAAATTCGACAATATGGATCAACGAAAAAGAATTTTAAAACATTCTAAATCCCCCTATGCACAGATAAGCACCTCATACATTTTGGTATATATTTCTACCAGTTTCTAAAAACATCTAGAAGTACATACACCCCTATGGCCATGTTACCCTGAACACGCCGGATCCCCTCTGATCTCGGAAGCTAAGCAGGGTCTGGACTGGTTTGTATTTGGATGGGAGACCACTTAGGAAGACCAGGTGCTGTAGGCATTAAAAAGAAAAAGATGTAAAAAAGAAAAAAAAAATAGAAGTACACATGCCCAAAAACTCATCAAAAATGCAATCAGACCAAAATACTCTTTTGTTATCTGCTTTTTTCACTCACCGATATTTTGTGAATATCTTCACATAGAAGTAAATGCATGGCTACATAAGCTACTTTCATTATAAGGACATATCCTATTCAACAGATCCTGTATTATCGGATTCCAAGTTTTTGCCTTTTTAAACATTGTTATATATACCTATTATGACATGCCTGGCTCCTTCTTCAAAACACGTTCACAAATTATAGTCTGTGAACTTTCTGAATGTCCCTCAGATCCCCAAAGGGTTTGATCTGTGCTTCTCTGATAGACATATTTTCCGTAACAATAATTATATCCTATCATCTTCCTGCTTGTAACTGCTAAGATCTTTTAGGGAACTGTCCACCCCAATTTAAGATGTCGCCCTTATGGCTAACACAGTAGCTTGCTCTTAGAAACGCTCCATAAATATTTGTTGACTAAGGGCATGAATAAATGAATTTGTTTAATGATTCATTCCAGAGTTCTGCTGG